TATACAACCTTATGTTTTTTATTTAACATATTGGCAAGATTAGCATGTTTTCAAAGTGTATAAAAGCTATAATTATGCATTGAAGAATTTAATATGATTAAAGTAAACAAGTAAATCATTTGAAAACTAGAAACTTTAAATGTAAATCATTTTATGCTTAATTCAAGGAAGTATTTTAAGGTTTAGATAGCTAGTAATCTTATTAATGATGTTGTCTATTAAATGGAAGAAAATATTAAACAACTATAATCGTTGTTATTTTCAAAAATTGACAATCTAAAGATATTGTTATAATACTAAATATTTAACAATAAATAGGCTACAAACTTGAAAAACAAAAATCCAAATAATTATCAAAAAGAGTATTCTCCTTAAATGAAAAAATGAACATGCAGAAAGTATATTTGGTTAGTTGTGTATGTTAATAAAAAAATCCAGAAAATATTGTTATGATTAGGATTTTAATGGATTAAAAAAAAATAACAATTCAATCAATTGATTCATTATTTCCATGTTTAGACCTGATAAATCAAAATTGGATAATTGAACATAAATAATTATTTTTATAAAAATTCAAATTTCATTTTTGAACGTTCCTTCTTTTTAATAAACTCTATAATTTTGAGAAATTTTATTCATAAAATTAATGATATATTATTTACTGTAAATCAATACAATGATCAAAAAATTAAATATGATCATTTAATACTGAAAGGAAAATTCTTAGCAACTTTCAAAAGAAAAAAATGTTATTTTGTAAATTTGTTGAAATAATTTTGAAAAATCAAAGAAGTAAATTCTGAAAATCAAATAGTTTAAAAAAAGTATTATTTAAAAATTTCTGTAAATTAATGAATGATTAAATTAATAAGTGAAAGCAATATGCTTTGTATCATAATTTTATTTCAAGTTACATTAGAGCAAGGTCTCTTCTATTCTGCCTATGATGAATCTACATTGGATATCTAAGATTGTAATAAAACATTTAAATTAGTTTGGTAATTTTTTGGAAATACTTCTTCTAATATCATCTCAACTTGTGGGTCTGATCAAATAATTGGAGGATATGATATATTTTCTAGAGGGATTGCTGCTACACTTTTTATAGAGTTGCCTCCTCATTATAAAATGGAAATTACATTCACTTTGTTTATGTATTCTACATTCTTAGTAATAGTATAGATACATGGGATAATGAAAATTTTTATGTATATACAGATTAGGATCTGATCTACCAATAATAATTTAGTAATAAAAACAGTAATCTGACTTTATGTGGATAAACAGGGGATAATAGAAAGGATTAGATTTATCAGATTTAAGTTGAATTTGATCACACTGGATAGACTAGTTTCATCTAATTAACATCTAATTTAAATGATAGTGCTATAGATGTATACAATTCGATTTATTTAAGGAATCATGGGGTTTTAGGAATTTCAGAATTTATCTTTATGAATGTCCACCTGGATGTTACGTTTGCTCTAAAGACGATTCACAACTTTCGTGTGAAAAATGGGTGAGAGTTTATATAATATTTACTTAAATGCTCTATAACTAATTCTAAGAAAATGCTATGATTTAAATCATTGATGGAGAAACAACCAAATAATAATGTTCTAGTAATATATTATATTAACATAGATTTACCAATAATGTGTGGTTATGGTGCTTGTGGGCGGAGTACCAAAATAATAATGAATAATTTATAGCTTCCATTTCATACAAGAATTAAAATAAAACTAAAGTATTTAAAAATTGATAGCTGGGAATCCACTGAAAAAGCTTTAATATTAGTTGATGGAGTCATTCGATGGAGTTCTGCATTAAATCGAGTTCATTAATATATATATGGAGTTTGTGGAGGAAATTCAAATGATATTTTAATAAATTTAGAACTCACATTCTCTCACATTTATACTAGTACAACAATTTCAATTATAAACACTTTGGATGAAGAATTTACAAATGAATCTTTTGGTATAAGAGATATAACAATATTTACAGGTATTTTAAAAATTTAAATAGAATAATCCATATGTGGAGATTAGGTCGTACAAGAAAATGAGGATTGTGATGATGGAAATTTGATTCCATTTGATGGTTGTTTCAGTTGTTAATTCTCCTGCATTGAAGGATGCGAAATATGTGAAAAAGGTTAATGCTTACTTTGTCGGTAAGGTTGGATTTTTTAAAGGGAAATATCTTATTGTTAGAGAGTAGATACTACAGTTCCATCAATATAATCTAAATTTAAAGAAAATTTATTTGAAGGAGAAATATTAAATGGATGTTAACATGAATGCAAAATTTGTATTTAAAGTGTTTGTTATTAATGTTAATTAGAACATACTTTAATATTTGGATAATGTTATATTTTAGCAGAAATCACATGGGAGGAATGTAATTCTAATTGTTTAGTTTGCAGAAATGGTTTATGTTTTAAATGTTAATAAAATTATTAAATATTTGATAATAAATGTGTAGGTATTTGTGGAGATTAAATTGTTCAAGATAATGAAGATTGTGATGATGGTAACAATATCGAACTTGATGGTTGTTTTAATTGTCTGTATTCATGTCCTCGGGATTGTAATTATTGTGAAAAAGGAATTTGTTAAGATCTCTGTTAAAAAGGTTATTATTTTAATAATAATTCTTGTGCAACTATATGTGGAGATTCAATAATAGCAGGCACTGAATAATGTGAAGATGAAAACACTATTGAATATGATGGATGTTATCAATGTCAATATTCTTGTCCTTTATATTGTAATGATTGTTTAAATGGATAATGTTATGATTGTGATTCAGGATTTATTCTTTCTTAAAATATTTGTATAAACATTTGTGGAGACGGATTACTTTCCATCTTAGAATAATGTGATGATGGTAATCAAATTAATGGTGATGGATGTTCTAAAACATGCGAATTAGAATCTAATTATATTTGTAATTTAGATGGATAATGTGCATATGTTGAGTATCCAATCCCAATTATTGAATATTATCAACAAATTAATTAATTTTAATATGTTAAAATGACATTCTCTTAAAAGGTTCAATAAAAGTAAAATTTAGATTACAAAGATACAATTAAATTAAGAATCATTGATTTGGATTAAGACCTATTTTAAATTATTATTTTAGAAAATTAGCCTGTTTAATGTTAAATATAAAATGTAGAATATATTTTCTAAATTGAAATTTTGACTAATAGATTGAATCATCCAATTTTGGAAGTGATATTGACTGAGTAGTTATATAATGAAAATTAAGCACCATTACTTGATCTAGTCAATTATATTTAATTGAATTAACCTAATTATATTAGTGAAGGAGAGAAGATGATATCAAAATCAATCTAAAAAGTTAATGAATATTCAATAAATGCATTATTTACTGTTTAAGCAGTCTTATTTCTAGTAGGCAATTTTGATTCTTTTTAGATAATATTGGATGCCCTTTAAAATTAAGTATATCTTAAATATATCAATGTTTTATTTCCTTAAACATTAATAATCTACTTTGAATCAAGTGATGCTGTATCGATGCAATCCAAATTTAATCTACTTCCAATTTAAAAATACAATGCAACTTTACCCCAATTTCCTTATCAAAAATCTTATGAAAAATTTGAGTATTACAATATTAATTCTAATATATTGGAAGGCTTAATTATTGAAGTTGTTATTTTTCTTTCCGTATTTTTAGGTTATCTAAGTACTTTATTTAGTATTTATATGCTAAAATAATTTGAAATAAATAAATATCTTTAATAATGGCCAAAATTTATTATTTTTTTATAAAAATTGAAAAAAAAAATGCATTCTAAATTAAAACTATTTAGCGTTAATCTAATTAAAATGACTTTATTTGCTTGTAGTTGGGATCTTATTTTTATGGCTTTTTTGGAGTTACAAGTCAAACATAATTTTGAATAACCAACAGTATACATTCGTTTGTTAATAGCTCTTATAATACTAATAATATTAGTGATTATTATGTTATAATAGCTAAATGGACTTAAATCTTGGTAAAAATAAAATTTTATTTAATATTGGGAATAAAAACATGAATTAATTATTCTTATCAAGAAACTTCTTAGCCTTTATATATTGATTTATCATTAAAAAAACTAAATACTTTAAACTTTGGTTTTAACTTTGATCAATGTATTTTATCTACTATTTTTAATAAAGTGTAAATCATAAGACAGACATTAAGAATATATCAAAAATATTATCATGGAAATCTCTATAACTATTTTTACAGCATCGACCTTTACTAATTGGAATATTTTTTCTAGTTACTTTTCTTATTAATAAAGAATAATAATTAGTTGGATTTAGATGTTCGTATTAGTAAGTGTACTAATTTTATTTTTACTTATTGAGATTTATAATATCTTTTAAATAATTTTAGAAAAGGTTAAAAAAATCCTATATTTCAATAGAAATCAGTCTCATAAATGTAAAAAAAATGAATTTTAAAATATAAATGCTTTAAAAGTGAATCCAAATAACATTTAATAGAATTAAAACAAATAGTAAATATAATAAAAACCCATTCATTAGAGGATTTTTTATGTCGGTCAATGATTCTTAAATTTAATGTGAATAATATTTAAAATTTTTATTATCTTGTTTCTATTTTTACATATAATAATAAAAAAGAATTATGAATAATATGAATGAATACTCTAATAAATTATTAAACAGCAGCATCTCTTTTACTTTTAATCAAAAAGACTTTCTGTATCTTCCGATAATTATTTACTTTAGATTTTTGTTTTCTTGTTGCAATGTTTCATAAATTCATGTACCATTAAATAGTTATAAATGAAACTAACGCACAATATTTATGAAATCGGATTTCAATTATCTCAATAACAGAAGGAAACATAAAAATATTTTATTATTAAATTAATTTAAATGCAAAAATGATGCTAACTTAGAGTGATTTTTTTTATCTTATTAAACTGAGTCTTATTTTATTTTAACTTATAGCTAGAATATCGTCAATTTCTAGGCGGAGGTTTACAGTATTATAAATTATAATTTTATTAACTTGTTTCTTTATAATGAATAAAAAATAAAATATAATACTTTCTTGAAAACATTCAATATGTAGAGTATGGTATATGACAAAAATTCTGATGTTTAATCCAAATATAATTATCTTTGGTTAATAGTTAAATTTTTTGGGAAAACTTAATCTCCTAAGAAGATATTTTTGTGTATTATTAGTCTAATAGAATTTAATTTTTCAGGATTCGGTAAGTTTGTGCAGTTATCATATTTAAGACATAGAGCTCTAATAATTTTAATCTTCAAACTTAGATATCATTGGCATTAACTCCTCCTTAGCTTTTCCCCTCTCTAACTTCTTCATCATTTCTCTTATCATTTTCCTTAAATACATTTATGAAATCTCCTCCTCTTTACTCATTTGGCAATCTATTCTGATTTCCAATAGAAAAAAAGATTAAAGGGTTTTATCCTCCGCCATCCTTGCCAGAACCCCTTCGATCCATATTGATTATACTATAGTTCCATTCTTCTCCTTACTCTGATTGATTGATGCTTCTATTTCTTGTATGGATGAGTTCTTTGGGGCGTATCTACTTTGGCTATGTGATGACATAATTTTTAATTTTATTTTTTTTTCTTCTAATTACGAAGATTCTAAGAATAATAATGACAAAAAGTACAATGTCTCTATCTCAAGATTTATTTTCTAACTTACTATTTACTTTTACAACATCTTTTTTTGCTAATTTTCCATTCGACTCAGCAGATTTAGATCTCTAACCAACTTCATCTATTAATTTAGGCTCTGCTTTTCTTAAACAGTGAATAATTTGGAAATATTCCTTAATATCATTTTTGTTAAACAGAACCATAAAAGATAAATTATAAATTCTCGTATTTTTGCAGTTATATGCATTTTAGAACCTTAATTAGAACTGATTCCTTATTAGCGATTTTATTTTATTCCAAATTAATTAGAACTTATTGAATTGATTGAAATCCAACTCTAAAACTTATAACAAAATTAAAAATTTTATGGACGCTTAAAAGTAAAGATGAATTCAATCAATTTTGAATCATTAGTTAAAGGAAAATATTTTTATTTTTAATTTTGTTATATTTCCTATTAGTATAATTATTGGATTATTGTTTTTTAGATCTATTGAATTTGTTTTTTTGAAATAATAAATTAAATTTTATCAATCAAAAGAAATTTCTGTTTTTAATCTTTAAAAATTAATTTAAAATAAGGAGATTTTGGAATACTCCTTTGGGATAAAATAAATAAGACTGTATTGATGAATGGCAAAATATTGAAATTTAAATATGAGGGTTTTAGCAAAAGAATTTAAGAAGATACTAAAAATGTCCACCATTGAAATCTTTTTATCAAGGGAGATTATTAAAAGATGGTGTATTCAAATTCATATTTGAGATGAGGAACAAATATAACCTTAAATTAAACTTTAATCTCAATAAAATTTGTAAATTTTGAATGAGAAAAGATGTACCAATCATTTAACACTAAAATCCTTTTGATGCATTGATAGAATTAAAAAATTTTCATTTCATTTCTTTTTAAAATTAATTCGATATTATTTAACTCATCTAATGTTGTTTTTTTATTTATTTTATTATCATTATTTTATGTTACAAACTCACATGATTTTTGTTTTCTTACTTATTTACTTAACTAATGAACTTATATTTGATTAAGGATTATGTTAAGAAACATGCTAATAATAGAATCCAGATTTTGAATGCAAGAATTAAACTCCATTCATTTTCATTATTAATTTTAGTTCGCCTTTTGAAAACATTCCTTAAGTTTTTATTGTCTTAGATCTTATAAGTGTTGATGTTAAGACAGACTTTAGATTGGAGATTTAAGATATTACTAAATAGAGTAAAATATTTTAAATATTATTTCAGGTTTTAACTTGCATGTTGCTTGTTTGACTGGATGGGCAAGCTGTCTTAGATTAAAGTGGTATGCTATCGATGATTAAAGGTTTCAGATAATAAATTTTTTTAATACCATAGATTTAATTTAAAAGACAGTGCCACATAAAAACAAAAATTTGAATACAGAAATTGGTCTTATAACACTCGTAAGTCATAATTATGAAGAAGTCAATTTTAAATTAAAAGTAATTTGAAATATTTAAACAGATTGATGAAATAACAAGTGAAGATGTAACAGTTTCACTAATAAAATTACCTGAAAATTTTGGGGAATAAATCTAAGTTGGGTTCCAAATAATTTTAGGACCAAAAGAAGCTTTTCAAGAATTTAATTTTATTGATTCAACAACAAATTATGAATCTATAATCTAAGAGAAACAAAATGCTTGGTTCATATCGACATTTACTGGAATGGGATATCCTTATACTGATGCAATAAGATTGGATAAATAATATCAATTTTAAGAAAGCTCTATTTATAAATATAGTTTATCCACTTGTAAAAAATATTACGAAATTAGGGTACAGCGCCTTTACTCCTTGTTCTCACTCTCATGGATTTATTTCTCAAATTATAAACTCATTTTTCTATTCCATAAACCTTCAAAAATTATCAATTGTACTAATTTAACATTCTTTATCTGTTCCTTTAATATCTATAAATTTTACACAGATTAATAGAATCTTAGATTCTAATGGAGAATATTAGGTAACTTTGGATAAAGCTTTTGATGAAGTTTTGATAGATATTTAAATAGCCTGTCCAGTAGGGAAAATGGTTGAAGCGAAATTTAATAAATGTTATGATTGTTCTATTGAGAAAACTAATTTTTAAAACTTTTAATGCAGCAATACAGCCAAAAAAATTTATTTCAAAATTCAATATTCAAAATAACCTTTAACATTTGCTGAACTTATATTAAAATAACAGGATAATCTATGTTAAATGAATTAGTTATTATATAATCAAAAATTTGAGGAGGTTGAGATATTCACACTAAATATTAAGGATATTTGAAATTATAAATTATAAATTTTAACTATGATAATAAATATCATTTTTCTATATTAGAATTTTGTAAAAAAATTTGGATCTTAATTTGCGATTCTTATTATTACATTCTTTGTCTTTAAAATAGATTCAGATATATAAGGATTAATTCTATATGATTAAAATCTTAGGTTTATTTTGAACTCAAATTTATTAAATATATCTATTGTGAAGTATATTTTTAATAATAATATTGTGATCTCCATAATGAAGATAAATAATTCATCTTTAATTAGCTTATCTTTTATAATTATTTTTTAAACATTAAATAAAAAATTCCTACAATTAAGAATGATAAAAATTACCCATAAATTGTTTCCATAAAATTATATCAAAGTTAATATAAATAAGTTAATTCCTCAATTATCGCAAAGGTTTCATCTTAAAGAGGTTCATTAGGAAATTGATTCTGATAACTTAATTATTCTAAATGAAATTTTCTTCAGTTTTTCCTCTTATGATGTAATAAATTTTTCATTATCAGATTTTCTTTGATATACAAAACCTTTTCCTTTTATACATAAGATTTCCCTCTAGTAAAGGTGGAATTTCATGCCATACTCAATATATAAATTTAAGAGATCATTTATATAATTCTGATAGATCTTGATAATACAACTTAAATTAATTCTTGAATTAATGAAATACAATAATAAATTTAATAAAAGAAGAGAACTCTTAAGAATATGAATTTATAAATGGAGATAAATGATTGCATTTGAAGAAGCTCAATTATCAAACTCCTTTTACTTGTCTTAGTATTTTTGTATGATGAAAATAATTAACTGAATATTATAAAATTTATGATCTTACTCATTTATTTAAGAAATTTCAGATTAAGTCAAAGATTTTATAATAATAGCTATTAGCTTTCTAAGTTCCTTTATTAAAATCATGTTTTATGTAAGTTAATTAAAACTTTTTAACTTAAAATTATGTATATCTACTCATTTGTTCTTTTAAAATAACTTTAAAAATAGTTTTAGCATATTAGCCTAACTGATTAACAAGAACTATATTTACGCCATTTAAAAGCTCCCATGCTTTTATCTCTATATTACCATATTATATGATATGTAGATGAAAATGAATCATAACCAAATATTCTGTATAAAAGTATAAGAATTAAGCTAATAGATTCTTTCAAAATGTTTTTGTAACTGGCATACAATCTATAAACAGCTTCAATGTAAACCTGTTGATATTTCAACAGAAGGAAAAACTTCAATTCAATTTGGCTTTAGATATTCACATAATTTTAAGAAATATTATAATGCAACAGTAGAAATAAAACCAGCAATTAAAGATAGAAACATATCTATCAAATCATTATGTTCTTGAAATGATAAGAAGTAGACCCTAAAAACCTTATTTTTCATTCTTGCCCACTCCAAATGTGATATCTTTATTTAAAATATATTTGAATTGTATTATTTTATAAATGTAATTCTTTCATTTGAGGATAGTTCCTAGCAACAGATCTATAATTAGTTGAAAAGATTGTTTTATAGAATTTCTATTTCTAAATATAGATGTTGTCATTCAAGTATCGATAGCTTTGTCTAATAATGAAGAGTAAGTCATATATTGAATTGAGATATATTTTATTATCCAAATTCTTAAGATTTCTAATTATTTTTTTTTTAAATATTTTTTAAGCTCATTTTTCATTTTTCATTTTTTTGATAAAAAATCTAAACTTCACGGAAAAATTTTCTAATATCATTAATTAAGGTTGTGATATTTTAGGAAGCATGAAGACTAAAAACTATGATACAAATGATATGTATGATAATAAACGATATTTTAGGATTTTTTAGAAGTTTTAAAAAAACACTTGGAGTATAGAGATTAAGTATAAAACAAAAATTATCATTAATAGATGAATTGTTAAAATATTATAAAAGTTATCAGAATAATATTATATCTTAATTTAGATATAAGCCATTTTCATCAGCTAAGTATGGAAATGAAAAATAATAGTTAATTGATTCTTTAAAGGATACAAGAGAGCAGCTCAAATTTTTAATTAAGAAATTATAAATGAAATATAAATTTGATGTTAAAGATTTGGTATACACAATATATTATATCAGCTAATTTATAAAAAATCAAAATTTAACAATTGAATAGATGATTGATAACAAATCTTTTGAAATTTCATAATCAAAAGTAAATTATTTACGATATTTAATATAAAAATTTAGTACGCAAAAGAGTATCAATGAGAGAATTGTGATAAATTTAATATATGAATATGAATTCAAGAAGTAGTATTAATTCTGTAAAAATATTAGATGGGAGAAAAATTTTCTCTATAAACTATTTAATAGCCTTTCCCCTAAAATTAGTTTGGTTGTTTATTTGTAGTATATATTATACCTAGGGAGTTTAAATGTTGGTTTTGTCATTTTTCGATTAAGTAAGTATTTATTGAATTAAACTTGTATTTAGATAATTTTCAATATATTTATCAAAACCTTTATTTAAATAATTTTTAGAAAAACTTCTTGCCTCAATGCTTTTGTATATTATCCTCCTTAATTGTTAAAAAGCACAGCTAAGTATTGCAAAGATTATATATCAACTCCAAAATAAAGAATATTTTGGCTATCTATTTATTTTGAGTTTCAAAGATGTTGAAAAATTTATATAAAATAGTTGACTTTCTACAAATATTGCTAATGCAGTGGCTGTACTGTACTGGGAAATCCAACTATTGTTTTTTAAAATTATTAGTAAAGATTTTAAAACTTGCAATCCTTAGCGCACCTCTATAATTAAGATTAAGTAATGATGTAAAAGCCTTAATATATACTTTTGAAATCATTTTAGAAGGTTTTTTGAGTTAACTTTATAATATTTATAAATTTGAATTCCTAAAGCAACAAAGAGCTTTAATACTCACTAGCACTCTGAGTATGTAATATTGTGATTTTAAGATAAATATGAATAATTTGACTTTTCTATAATATCTTTTCCTAAATATTTTGCAAATATTTAGGAAAAAGCTATTATATTACATTAAAGAAAAGATAATTAAAATTTATACTTCTTTTTTTGTAAAACAACATATAAAATAATCTATTAATTTTCTAATTTTTATATTATCTGAAGTCGAAAATCAGACAACAATTTAATAGTAATTAAAATAAATTAAATTCTTTAGAATACATAGATTTCTATATCTATTTTCAAAACATGCAATTAAAAAATAAATGCACTGTTCAAGAAGTTTTACTCTAACTAGTTCTTAAATTGAAAAAAATATAAAAATTTGTCATATTTTTTCTTAAGTAACAGAACAATCAATTAATTTATCTATTTTAGATTAACTCCATTTTTTGCAACAATGAAACATTCGCATTAGATAATAAAATTAGAAATATCTTAGGAACCAAAAAATAAAAAACCGATGAGATTCCTTAACTGAACTTATTAATATTTTTCGAGTGTTTCTTGCTAAAATTGAAATTTAGAATGCTGAAATTAAATTTTTTTTAAACGAGCATGAATTGAAGATAATACGTTCTTTAAGAATTGTTTAATTCAAAATTTTAATAGTATCAATTTAGAAATCAAAAGTGATATCCATATAATTATTAATTAAGAAAATATAAATAGATCCTTATTTATTCATGATGATGATCCAATTTATAGTCTCTACTTTTGAAATGCTAGCATTAAGAGATATTAATTTCAGTCATGAATTAAAAACTTGAATTTATCGACAAGACATCTAAATTTCAAATTCAATTTTTATTAAAAGATAGTTTTATTAATATCTTTTAGAGATGCTGTTAAAATTGAGAAGAAAAGAAACTTCATTTAAAATTAATCAATATTGAAAGTAGGCAGAAAAGGTTGCTTTATCAGTTTCAATTATAAAAGAATATTTTGAAAATATATCTTTATAATTGTAATTTAAAAGTAAAAATGAAATTGCAAGAATTACCCTATAATAGTCCCATCAACAGAAACCAAATTTCAGTAGTTTTATAATAAAAATATCATTTTTCTTAATTGAAAGACGCTATTTTTATTGCGAATTTAATTTATTAAAAAATTGTTGTATGAGATAATTCAAATTTTGAGTATCTAATAGAGCAAAATTAATAAATTTTAATGAATAAAAAAAAGAAATATTGAGAGATAGTTGTTGCAGTTCTCAGGATAACGAAAACCACTATTTGATAGTTGATATCAGTTGGTTAAATGGTTCCAATAAGTATTTGAGATTATCTTATATTTAATATATGTAACTATTATAGAATATAGGGTGACAATCTGTAAGCAGTAGAAGATTTTATGATAAAGAGGAGGGTTATAAAAAAATTTGGAGATGGATTGAATTAGTTATAGAGTTTCGGATATGTAATAAATTACTCATAATGATAAATATAATGGTATTGTATCCATCTATTCCTTCGGAAATCATCAATTAATTTGATGTACATTACTATTTAGTGATTTTAATTTCTGTATAAATTTAGAGGTGAATAATTTAAATATTACAAATTTGGAGATTTTCTAGTGAAAATTCATAATTAATCATTTATTTATAAAATTTAGAGTGAAATAAAGAAAGCCCTGTTTGATGATAATTTTTCATTTTATAAATATTACATTTAGTATGCTGGGTAACTGTAAATTTAAATTATAATTGTAGCTTATTTTAAATTTAAAGCTTTTGGATACATTTTATTTATCTAAAATTCTCAAAATGAATTAAGCTAATGAATATTTATCAAGCATTTTGTTTCTGAATATATTATATCTTAATTATGAAATAAGATAATTAATAATTTAATAAAAAACATTATTGAATAGATTGGAAGGTATTTGTTATCAGTATTCAAAGCAAAACCAAATGAAAAAATAATGATTAAAAAAAAATTTAATAG